TGTATATTTGATTTCATTGTTCCAGTAAGAACTTAACATGTTGTTATCTAAGCTATTTAAAAGAGAATTTCTACTAATTCCTTAATCAGTACGGTCAACACAATATTTTTTTGCTTTGCACAGTGCAAAAATATATTTCCCAAATCGGATTGACTAAAAGATTGTTCATTTCAATCAATCTGATTTGAGTAAAGTATTTATCTACTCTTATAAGGAGAAAGCATTGTGTTGTTCAGAGTGATCAAGCGGTTAGTAGGAAATTTTCTTTTAAATAGCTCAGATAATACCATGATGAGCTCTTATTGAAGTAGAAAAAATTCGAAATTAAATGATATTTGTTCAACACAATGAACATTTCATATTAATAAATCTATTGGTAACTGTTGATTTTCTTTTATTAGTCGTAGGGATTCAGTAGCGAATCTTAACGTAATTTAAAGTTAAGGTAAATAGTTTGTCCCTACCTCAGATGATGATTGACTTTAATAAATTCCGTCATGGCTACACTCTAATTTCTTGCTGGTCATTCGATGAATTATTTGTTTTGATGGTTCATATGAAACACATGCACGAGAAGTAATGACTTGTATAAAAAAAAACGCAGAATAAATTCAAATGACACTCACATTTGCTTTCTTCCGAAAGAAAAAGAAAGAAAAAAGGAAAGAAAGACAAACTCCTTCATCTCACACAAGATGTATACAATTCAAAATTTCCACACGATTGTTCTTTCGCTTTTTTATGCATGATTGAACAGAGCACATGGAGTTACAGAGAAAAATATCTTCAATTTTCATCAGTCGGTTTTTCAAAAAATCACGATTGTTAGACTTCATCAAAAAATGTTTATTTTTTCGTTATGTATAACTGGAGAAATTTTTTCCGTTTTAAGACGCATTATTGAATAGAAAAACGTAATTTATATTGATTACTTTTTTTGTCAATTATGCGCTGCGAAACAGAAAAATATTTGTACAATTGCACAGAACGAAAAATGATTATATTCACAGTTGTATATTACTGAAACGTTTTTTTAATGTAACTCCACACTTTCTACTCAATCATGCGCTAAAAAAGCAAAAAAATGGTGCGAAAGTTTCAAGTTTCTCGCACCTTACAACGTATACTGACTCAATTGTCTCTCCAAAGTAGAATTTTTCAACGACTGATTCACTGATACTAAAATCATTATTTGAAAGTAACACTAATAAATGAAATGATTTGAAGGGTTCGATAAATGACGAGGCTTTTCTCTGATATTTTACAAAAGATATCATTGATTTTATATTCATTAGACAAGATTCTAATGTGTAGTATTTTGTTCAGCAATCTTTGACCAAAAGACCGATTGTCAAGAAAATTTTCGAACTACGATTACTGAAAAACAATAAAATCATATATAATAATCAATTTTTTCGATAATGTAAATCAAGAACAGACACTAAAGGAATATGAATATATATAAGATAAATATTTTAATGTTATTGAAGAAAGTTATTCAATAAAACGGTCCCAAATTCAAATTTAAAACTGGAAATATTCGAGACAATGTAGATAATACATTAAATGAACATAGAAAACATAACCAATTAATAATTATATGTAAGCCGATCTGTTCAAATTATCGGGATACATTTGCTTATCAAGAAAATTATACAAATCACAGCACATCATAATTATCATATTGCAAATAAAGAACTTGAATAAAATAAAATTAATCAAATGAATTTTATATGCATAGATCTTGAAAATAAAAACCACAAAATTGAATATATGTTAGTGACAGAAATGAAATTCGACTCATTTCGAAGATCAGTCCTTCCGCATGACCAGTTGTTGTAAGCTCATTAATATATTTGGTAGTAAATGTGAAAAATATTTTCATATGAGATAAACGAAATATATTTCTAGAATATTCTGAAATTTTTTTAAGCATTCAGCCTACTCGGATCATAAATCACGTCGTATTGTTGACAATGAACGTTTTTCTCCAAAACATTTTTGAACAACTGGCAAATACAAGAACATTTTTAATTATGGACAATCATTGATCTATACATCGAATTTCACTTTCTTTGCTTGATTTTTCATAAATTCTCTTCGATACTCCTTCGAGAAAGTTTAATGACATAGGAATGTGAAACACCTCGAGCAACTATCGTCTACTCACGATACACAACCAATGTTGCCTAAACCCTACTGACAAGTCTCTGCTCTTTTTGTTCTTGCCTCGCTGCATTATCTGAATTCAGATTTTGCTCATGAAAGACAATATCCAGCATTTTTTCTTTGTCTGACTTTCTAACTTAAACATTTGAAATGAATGTTTCTGTGAAAATTAAAAACTTAGATGTTGATCACAATCGTCTTACGCAACATGCTCAAACTTTAATTAAACAGAAGTTCTCACCAACACGAAATCATTTAGTCATTTTGAGTTTTATTATGACCGTTATAGTTCGATGTCGACTAAATAATCTGAAATGTTTTATCGTATAATAATAAATCATCTCTTTAATTTTCATTTGGATTTCTCTTCTCTTTTCATCATTTGAATATGAAAAAATTAATTGAGCAATTTTTTTGCGATAATTCACGAGGAGAAAATGGAAAAGTGGCAATTTTCATTTCATTTGACCATTATTGATCATCATGTTCTACAGAAAATCTACGAATGAAACAATAAAATCGAATAAAAGAAATCGTTTATCGAGTTCAATATAACCTGACATGCGATTGAGTGCTAAAGCAACATTTCCTGACTTTTTTGATGAATATTCGCTACGATATCTCCACATCATTGTCTTTCACATACACAATCAGAATCATGAACGCTATATTTTCGCTGGTTTCTCCTGAGTCAGCATTTCAAGGTGACACATTATCCTTTCCGTTGGTTATTTTAATATTTTGACACGATGTAGCTCATTGTTCTGAAGTGATAGAAAATAAGAACAAATTTTCAATTTTCGGACTGATTCCATATCATAGTTCAGTGCACATCGAAACATTTGTATAATGTCAGAATATTCAAAACAGAATTCTTTGATAGAATTTGACAGAAAAAGATTATTTTCTATATGATCTATGATCATACACTAGTCCATACAAGATAATTCTATTTGAAACGATATTATTGTTCGATTACTTGCCAAAGACTATGATGGAAACAATAAAGCTATGTCAATTATATAGAATGATCAGCTTCGATCAATGCTGAACTTTTGTACTCGATGATTTCCATTATCACTTACATAGAGATTGCCCTCTCGATCAAATGACAAACCGATGGGACAATGGAGTTGATTCGACTGACTTCCTTTACCATTTCCACCGACGATGACACTTCCCTGTGTGACTCCTTCAGTCCATCGCATTATTCGATGATTTGAACAATCAGCCACATAGACAGTACCTGATTGATCCACGGCAATACCATAAGGATATGATAGTTGTGTAAGACTACTTCCTTCACCTTGACCACCAGCCACAACAATGCCTTGTTTCACATCTCTCATCCACTTCATTACACAATGATTAGAATCGTCTGATAAGTACACTGAATGATCTCGATCGACGCATACGTATCTTGGACAATTCACCTGATCAAGGTGATTTCCTTTTCCATTTCCACCTGCAACCATTGCTCCTTGACTCGCTCCCATCCGATATCGTCTGACATCATGTTTATCCCGATCAGCAACATAGAGAAATCCATCGTCATCCATTGTCAAGCTCAAACATCCAATATTTGAGATGATTGTTTCTCCGTTTGTACCATTTTCACAAGACCATCGAACAACTCTTTTATTGTTGAAATCACAAATGAAAACACTATCTCCTTTTTTATCGATCATAACATCATATGGACCGTTCAACTGATCAGGTTTGTTTCCCTGACCATTTCCACCGGCGACAACTCGACCAGTCGTCGCATTACATTTCCATTCTACAATACGATGATTCGACCAGTCAGCAATGTAGATATTTTGATCATCATCCACATACAAACCCCACGGATTGGAGAGTTGATGCATTCCACTACCTTGTCCATTTCCTCCAGCCACAGTGACACCATGCTGGGTCCATTTTGAATTCGCATTGAGATTCGTATTGCGTAGTGATGATGCTGAAAAAACAAGATAATATCCTTCATTTACATTCGATCAATGTACGTGGATGAAAACTCATATTTGAAGGAAAGAGCTTGGATCAGCAAAAAAAAGAACAGTTTAACTCAATTATCATATTGAACAATGTCTCGATGACAGTTTCATTGTTTTAACATAATAAATAGAGAAAAATCTGAGTACTTCTATCGGATGATTATAATTCGAATTTTCTCTTCTTCTAATTATCGTCTTCAAAGACTTTTCCTATTTACCTGACTGTTTGCTTAATTCATTACAATGTTCATTGATGTGATTAAAACAAAAATCTTTGGAAGATCCAGCAGATTTCAGTGTGTCTTTGGCTTCTTTACATTTAACGCGACAAATTTTGCCAGTTGTTGTCGCCATGTGAAAACCTGCTTTAGAAAAGAAAAAAACGAATGACAAAGCAATTGATAACATATGTAATCAACACTACCCAAGTTCGTTTTTTGTTTTGTCAATAAAAGACATTCTTTTTTCATCAAGGTGCTTCGTTGTGTAGTCAGATTTCATCATCGGAAACTGCATACCCACTCACGTTCAAAGGTTTAAAACTTTGCATTAAAGTAAAGGTGATTCGCTCGTTTTATTCAGAAAATTAATATGTGTTCGTTCTTCATTATAGAAGAAAAATTTTATAGTCGAATTTCTAAATGATTTCAATAAGAACTTTGGTGAAAATATTCGAATGCATCTTTTTTATCATCAATTGAAACTCGAAGAAATTTGTTAAGTTAACGAATATAATAAAAACTGGTTAATGACCATTCATATGATTTTTATTATTTTATAAATACAAGTAATGCTCGTCCGTGTGACTTGCTTGATCCTCGACTGAATATTCGGCTCTTTCAGTGTTATATACTGCTTTACAGCCTTCAACAAAGTTAGCATCCAATGTTTCAAAAGAGTGGATGAGTAGGTGCGTGTGAGTGTTGATATTAGCGTCAATCTCGTTGTGCACAACGGTACCTTGACCCGTGTGATAATTTTTGTCCTAAATTCATCTAATCAAATTGATACTCACACATTGATACTCAACAGAAATCTAAATGAACTACACTACAGGGGCTGTATCCGTACGCACTCGAAACAAGAGACTATTCAATTTTCTGAGAGATCACAAAGCAAAACACATTCTTGATACTATTGTGAAAACGTGCTATACTTTCTGAAAATTCTACTAAAAATCCGTATTCTTACTAGCACATCAGTCGATAATGTTGTTTAATAGAACGTTCGCCAGCAAAATACGAGTTTGGCTGAACTCCTTACTTGAAATAAATCATATTAGATCTGATCGGTAATCGGAATACCATACTGGAAAGAAGCTCCTACTCAAAGTAGCCGTCAGACTAGATAGATAATTTGAATATGCTCGTATACATTCCAACACGTGAATGAATACAGGCAAGAACACATACCATCAGAAAAAGTTCCTTTTATTTCATTCATATCTACTTCCGATGCAGCGAATGCAAATCCTTTGAGTGATGTTTTCCATCAAATGTACTATTCAAATATTGTGCACGTACAGAAAAGCCGTTCTCGTACTTTATTTCAAAATATTTCTTAGTTCTTTGCCACTGCTAGTCCCTATTCAAACCCATTGGATCTAGACCGTTGACATTTATCTGATTAATCCCAATAGCCTGAAGCGTTCTTTCAGGGAATTTTTCAGCGCAGCGTCTAGTCACTTTGTTTACTTCAGTTCACTTAAGCAATAGTTGTTTATTATTCATTTAACATAAAAGATATGACCTCATTTACATATCTTTTTATATTACTTTCTTTGAGTTATAGCGTATAGAAATTCCACGAGTCACAACTTCTGAAAAAATATACAAGATTAAAAATA